TTACTTGTTTATCATTAATTCTCTGCTCTTCCCACAACTGATTTTTCTATGACATATTCTTTTTCTTTAATATTCTTCTGATGGTTAATTTGTGCTTTAATGTTTATATATGAGTAATATATCAAATATATGATTCGCTATATCTTAATCTTTAAGGAAAGAATATGTTCCTAAAATGAGATAAAGACAGCTTATTTTCCTTATTTCTATGCCACACAATACTTTCAGTATTTGCCAAAGAACAAAATTGTTACACTATGCTTGCTGTGCTCTCTCTCTCTCTCTCTCTCTGTGTGTGTGTGTGTGTGTGTGTGTTGGGGGGGTAAATCACTGTGTTTCCAGATTCTTCTTTTACTGGAAATTTGTAGTGCCTTGCATGTTGACTTCTTCATTTTTAAGACTGAAATGTCCTTATGATTCAGAGAGGAAGCTCTACTTTGTAGGATATTCCCGTTCTCATCCTGCAGCTGACTTCTGGGAGTCTATTCTGTGTTCCTCAGCTCTGGGCTTCATTTTTATTTTAATTTCTTCTACTGAAGAAAAGTCCACACCCAACTTTTACTTTCCTGTTAGAATTCATATCAGATGTCAATGTGTGAACAGATAGATATGATGTTGGAGGGGATAGCAACTGGAGGGTGTTGTCAAAGTAAGTGACCTTCATCAGATGTTGTAAGAGTTTCAAAGTTGAGAGTACATTTAGTACCATAAAGTTCACTGACATGCACTGTAGAGCTGAGGGGCAGACTGTTGAAAAATCTAGTTCTCAGGGTCAGGGAGATGGTTGTGAGTAAGAGTGCTTGCTGTGCAAGCATGAGGACTTGAGTTCAAACCCTCAGCACTCATGCAAAAAGCTGAGCATGACCATGTGTGCCTATGATTCCAGCGCCGTGGGAAGGCAGAGGCAGCGGCATCCCTGGCACTTGCTGGCCACAGCCTGGCTCTGAGTTCACTGAAAGACCTGAAAGAGTAAGACAGAGTGGAAGAGCTGGACACCGAGCTCTTCCCCTGGCCTACGTGCACACAGGTGCATGAATCAACACGTGTGCATATACCATATATACATACACTGCACTCACATAGATATATACACACTCACAAGAGTGAACAAATAAATAAGTAAACATCAGCTTTCCAATACTCTTTCCATTTCGTATTATCAAGGAAAACCATTTCCAAGAACCATTTCCAAATCTCTTTCCTTACATGGAAACGTCTAGGCCAGTTGGAATCTGTCTTCTGTCTCATGGCCATTCTGTCCTTCTGCTTTTGGAGGGATATCTCTTGATCACAAGTCAGCTTAAATCATCTTATCTATTTTTTTTTCCCTCTAGTTTTACTACTGCCCCGAAGAATAAGAACAAGATAAGATAAAGGAAAAGACTGTGCTCTGTTGACTCTTTAAAAATAACTCTTTCCAGGTAAGTGCATCTCTGCTCCCTCTCCATAAAACAGTTGGAGCTATAAATAACATGGTGTGGAGGTATGTGGGGCACACACGTGACCAGGCTGGTGTGTGAAATGCATTCTGCTGAGCTCTGACTTTCACTACTCATTAAGCCACATCATCATTAACACCCGCATGACTAGAAAACTACAAACTCAAAATTAGCAAGAGCTATCCCATACCTTAATTTGTGTGTGTGTTGGGACGAGAGTATATATGTGTTCTTGTGAGTGTGTGCATGTGTACCTGGGTAGGCCAAGAGTCTACTTCAGAAAGTTTTCCTCAATCACTCTCCACCTTATTTTTTAAGACAAGCTGTCTCACTGAACCTGGAACTCATTGGTTTGCTAATGAGCTTCAGGGACTTGTCAATCTCCCCTCCACCCTGCTCAGGTCCCACCCACAAAGGGTCACCAGGACTGACTCTCTATGCAGGTACTGGGAGTCTACCCTCACAAGATAGAACTCTACAGACTGAGCTATCTTTCCATTTATTTGAATAAACTTTTATCCCTCCACCCCTTCCTCCTAACATACATTTAACATCCTTGTGAGCAGCTCACCAGACTCACTTTAACATTATTAATTTCAATTTTTATAAGGTCTCACTATGTAGTCTTGGCTGACCTTGAACTTGCAGGGTCTCTCTGCCTCTGCCTTCAGAATAGTGGGATTATAGATGCATACCACTAGACCTCGTTTAGATATGTCTTCACCTTAGGTTTCACTGCATTTCTTATGTAGCTGCATTGTGCATGTTTCCCAAATACCAGGGAAAATGTTTCTTAGAAGTGATCTAGTCATCAGAGACAAGCACTTAGACAATGGACCTAGAGACCAGATGCAGAAATCTCTCTTGACTACCATTATTACTTACTTTAACTCCACAATAAAGGATCAATGGTCCATAAGCTTAAAGGTGATCCAGAAGCAGTCAATAGCTAAAATGCTAAGAAATTCAAATAACTATGCAAAACCAATAGCCTGAAGAGCTTAGAAACATGCTGTGAACCAATGTTTTAGAAATATTTCACTATGCAAAAATTAAATTACTTTAGCTCTAAAATTAAAAGGTGGTATTTTCACTTGGAACTATAATTCCCAATCAAATGGCAGGAGATGGTATAGCTTACACTGGTGGGTGGGGTTCATTTTAGATAAATCTTTGATCCTTTATTCATCAACCTTGGATATTAACAAATTCAATTTCCTTAGTCATGAAAAACGTTTTTCAGGATGTTGGACACAGTTCTGTGAATGAAATACAGTTCATAGTTCTAAAGATCTGATGCACTATATGATCAGTAAATGGATGAAATAGATTATGAAAGCTAGAAAATGCTATAACGAGCTAAAATCTCTAGCAGCCTGCTGTAAACAAATTTAAACAGAGGTTGGCCTTTCCATGGTACTTTCTCTCTTTAGCTATTAACACTTTTAGAATTTACAAATATTATTTTCATCATGTTCTTCTTCATTCCCCTTGTTTGTCAGATGAAGAGCACAGGCCTCAGCAGTTGTGCGCTGCAGAAGATGAGAGGCAAGTTCCAGGTCTACGGAAGCTGGTCCAGATTTCTTCCCTCTGCTCTGGTATAAAGATGGTCACAACTCCCAGAGTTCCTAGAACACAGAAGAGCACATGGGGGATCAGATCAAGAATTGGGTATGCAAATCCAGTCAGTTCATTTAAGAATGATCGATCACCACTTGCCTACCAGACAAATGCCAGTAAATTCAGCTCAGAGATCCATGACTTGTCTCCTTAAAAGATAATCTAGCCAGATGTGGAGGCCCCAGCCTTTAATCCTAGCACTCAGGATGCAGAGGATCACTGAGATTAAGGCCAGCTGGAGATGGTCTCCATAGCAAGTTACAGGCCAGCTGGGCTACATAGTGAGACCCTGTCTAACAAATAAAAACAAAGCAAACAAATAAAAATATCAGGGGCTGGAGAGATGGCTCAGGTGTTAACAGCACCGGCTGCTCCTGCAGACAATCTGGGTTCAGTTCCCAGCACCCACATGGCAGCTAACAACCATCCATAATTCCAGTACCAGGGGATCCTACATATATATATATATATATATGCAGGAAAAATACCCATAAACATAAAATTTAAAACAATAAATAGAACCATTAAAAGAAGACATATTCAGGAAAAGTCCACTCTGGTGGTAAATTTCTTCCCTGTAAGATAAAGGAAGGACAGACCCTGAGTTAAATGCGAACAATAAACCAAGACATGCATAATAAAACACAGCTCTGTCTATTTGAGCTTGTGGTCCACTTTATAATCAGGATACTTAACTTTTTATTGTTCAGTTGTATATAACTCTTTGTATATTCTGGATATTAACCCTGCCAGAAGTTTAAAACAGTCAAATCTGGAGAAGCAGAAAGTCTAAGAGCACTTACTAGGAGACAGAGGGAGCGGAATAAAAGGGGAGTTGTTTGACAGATGGAGTCTGTTTGTAGCATGAAAAAGTTCTAGAGATCTGTTTTACAAAGTAAATATATGTAACACCATTGAACAAACCACTTAAAGTGCTTAAAATCACAAATTTCATGGTATGTTTTGCCATCATTTTTTAATGAGTTTTGTTGTAACAGAAAAATAAACCAGACTTTGTTTCCAAGGAACCAGAGTGAGGCAGACCAAGTGTTCTAACAGTGTCTCTCCAGGGAACAAACCTTTCACTACCATTATGTAGCACAAAGACCCCACAGAGCAGAGCAGTGTGAACAGCACTCCAACACAGTCTTCAGGTACATTTCTGTGTTTCATGCTTAAAGCAAAAAAAGTTTAGTTGTCTGTTAAATCACAGAAAATGCTTGAATGCGAACTAAGCAATCATGGGTTTACTTAATTTTACTTTGCCCTAGTTTGATCAAATAATTGCTGGCATCAAATAATATTTGGAGCTAATTTTTAAAACCTCAATTTACTTATCTTTTAATGGTTTCAAAACCTTTCCCTAGTCTTTCCAGAAGCCTTAATAAGCTGTCAAGTCCAGCTTGCTTGAATTTGAAATGCATGGTGTGAAAAGCCTGGGTCTCGGGTTTTCTGAATGGCAACTTTAAGGGGATCCTTTGCCTTCACCACAAACCGGGTGCTGTCCACCCACTGCAGAGCGAGTTCTTACAAGCACTTGGCTGAACTAAGTAACGTAGAAAAACAAGCAAAGAAGCAAACACACCTTCCTGTTAAAGACAGAGAAATTCTGAGGACCAGAGTTTGGCGATAACCTAGTCACCTACTGACTTGTCCTTCAGGGCTGGCGTCTAGAAGTTTGAGAGGCCGACAGTCCTGGGGGAAGAGCAGAAGGTGCATTAGAAAGGACCAGGGCAGAGGTTTGTTGTTGGGTGTTATTTTGCTGGAGAGCCTGGCCGCAGGCACTTCAGCCGTGGGATGCACTGGGGCTGGAACTCAGTCTCCCCCGGACCACAAAGGCTGAGCCTTATTGGGCAGGGCCGGCAGCCCGCGGCTAAGGAGATAAAGGCGGGAGGCGGAGCTGCGGGGCGGCGGGGGCGAGGCTGGCGGCGGCCGGAGCGGGCGGGCTTGTAGGCGGCGCCTTAGCCCCAGCCCGCCGGGACAGGCTGGGCGATCTCCAGACTGCTGGCTGCCCCGGCTTCCCGGGGGCTCCTCTCCCCGCACCGACGCACCCGCAGAGCGGAGCGGTCCACGAGAGTTTGCCCCGGAGCTTGGGGAAGTTTCCTCCTTCCTTCCGGAACCCCGCTGTGCCCGACTGGGACCTCAAGGCGCGTGGGACGGCGAGGTAACCCCACTGGGGCTCGGGGATGCGCGGTACCCAGGGGTCCGGATGAGGCTGAGCAGCGCGGTGGGCGCCGGCTCTAGGTGGGCGGGACCTGCACCATACCTTTGCAGGTAATTAGCCTCTGAGAACCGAGGGTGGCATCTTTTCATACCTGTCACCCCCTTCAGGGCACCTCAACGCACTTCCATCCACTTTTCTGGAAGTGCAGTGGGCGGGAAGATGAAATTTGGAGACACATGCAGGAGGAACTTGGTAGTCATCTGGGCTGGATTGCTGGGCCCCCATGGGGACACCCTGGACTACCGGATCCTGCTGCCAAACCCGCGTGCGGACGCTCAGAGCTTGGAAAGAGGACGCCAGAGGGAACAGTTTTAAGTTTCCCAGTGCCGGTTTGTCCGGTCCTCCGGCTCATTTGGCAGAAAGATGAGCATCTCGCACTGCACTTGGTGCTTCCTTTGCACCAGCCCCAAACTCAGCTCCACCTTGCCTGTAGCCTAGGCTGCGGGCCAGGTGGGAGGGAATTATCTGAGCCCAGGCTGTGTGGAGGGCTGGAGAGGAGTCGTGAGCCTAGGATATGGCGCAGGCGAGAGGACGAAGGGCACTGTGGTGTCATCGCTGCTATTTCTGTTGCCTTCGCGCCATTCCCAGCCCCACTTCTGCTGGTCTGAACCCAGCTGCATGTTTCTGAGAGGCTGAAAGCTGTTCTTTCTGTTTGATGCCTGTCAGGAGTTATTTCCAACTAAGTTCTCAGACAAGAAGGCTAGAACCACCTCTGGTCCTTACAGACCTGCCTCAGAATTGTTCCTGAATCAGTCCCAGGGTTCTGCAAAGACTGGATGTAAATAACACAAAGTGTGAGTTTCTTTGACTTTCTCCCCATTATACCATCAGGTCCAAATCAAAACACAATGGAGGTTCGATAGGAAACTTCCCTTTGGCAGTTACTTTTTCCTTCCTGGTAATTAAGTTAATTATTAACCAGTATCTACTTTTCTTCATTTTAACCCCACACCTCTATGCAGTTTTATTTTCACAGTTCCAGATCCTACTGCTTTAAAGAACACAGGCTTTGCTTAGACTCACAGAGACAGTGTGACCATATTTAATATTTATCTGTCTCTCTGATTCAATAGCCCTGCCACCTGCCACTTCCCGTTCATATTCATAACACCATATGCCTGTCTACCAAAGGATAGGATGGGGGAATGTTATTTTTTTCCATGGGCAAAAGTATCTGATTACCAGATTTTATTATTGCTCATCAGGTTAAGAGGTTCAGTCAAAATAAATCAGAAATACAGAACAAATTTTCAGTTCTTCCCAAAGTGTTCAAACAAGATACCTGGACACTTAAAGATGGCTAAATTGAGGGAGAATTAAAATCTTCTGATCAAATGGGAAACACCTTCATCAATAAGAAATAGCACCAATGGAGTGCCTAGAGAAAATGAGAAGAAATTTCTTCTTATCACATTTGTTTTTCTGTCTCCTTTATGATGGTAGCATCCTCCAGAAAGTGAGTACCTTGCATATAGATGTTGATATGTACTAACTAAACACCATATTTTGTAATACAGGGACTTGGTGACAGTCCAAAAGCATGTTTTAAATCATTCCCAACCATCTGTTCTCTCTCTCCCACTCACTTAAAGCACAATGTTTTATTTTCACAGGTATCCAAACATACTCATTTCACACCTTTCCATGAACATTCCAAACACCAACATACCGAGTTGACCCAGGTTTGACAACTTTTGTGTTTGGCTGCTAGGCTCCTCTGATAAGCCCTTCTCCTTTGAGTTTTAATCAAAGAAGAAATCAAAAAAGTTCTGAAGCATCTAGCCAAGACTGGCATATACTCCTGGAGGGTCTGATTGCTTTGTTCACCCATCTTGTTGCTGACAGAAAGAAGCTGAAAAATAAGTGCAGTTACAAGCTCCTCCCAGTGATACCCTTTCCCTTCCTTCACCGGTACAACTGCATCATTTGATGCTCTGGGGTTGTGGATGAAGAGGCCTTGACTTCATAGGCTGAGTGTGGTGTCCTTCTGGGCATGACAACTTCCTGGGAATTTTTACAAAATAGGAAACTGTTTTAATATTCCAGACTTTGAATTAAATAGACCTTAGGTTGGTGAGGTGGTTCCCTGGGTTAAGGGTTTTCTGTCAAGTCTGATGACCCGAGTTCAGTTTCAATTCCTGGGACTCACAATGGTGGAAGGAGAAATTTTTTAGTTGTCCTCTGACCTCCATGTATGTGCACTCACCAGCCCATACCCCTCCACACACACAAACGGGAAAAAAAGAGAGCTGGATCAAAGAAATCCAGAGTACTTCTCCCACAAGTACTAACATCCATGAATAGCATAGGAAACTGTGTAGAAGATGAATGTTGTGTGGTCATGGTAGTCCGTATTTATATTTGGCATCTGAATGAGTTAGTATGTAATTGGCAAATTGACTCATAGCTGCTATTTTATTCATAACATCATTAAAGAGAGATTTGTGGTTTCCAGATAATTTCCATTTTGGAGCATTTTATGTAAATGGTGCTGCAATCTTAAGGGTGGGTTTTTTTGTATATGTGTGTGCAACTATATGGTGTGCGAGGGTATATATGCACATGTACCATGTAGAAGACAGGACAACCTTATGTGTTCTTCCTCACGTACCATCCACTTTGTTTTTCTGAGATAGGGTCACTTATTGACTAGGAGTTCTCCGATGAGGCAGCACTGGCTGGCCAGTGACCCCAGGTCTGCCTGTTGCCACCTTAGCACTACTGAAATTACAAAAGGGCAACACCATGCCCTGCCTTTTTTTGGGTGCTTGGGATCAAAACAGATCCTTCATACTTCACCTGAGCCATCGCCTCAGCCCTGAATGTTTATTTTTCAATTAAATAAGTCATTAGAAAATAAAAACTGTCCAATTCAAAGTCATAAGGTGTGTGTGTCCATGTACTTGTGAGTACAGTCAATTCACCAGCTGGGCTATCTCCCCAACCCTTAGGGCTTTTTACTCACTCAAAATTAAGTCCTTCATCATAGACATAATGTCAGGGCTATTTTTGTCTTAGTTACTGTCTATTGCTGTGATAAAAAACATTGTCCAAAACCAATTTGAGGAGGAAAGGTTTTATCTGGCTTACAGCTCACATTCCATCATCAAGGAAAACCAAGGCAGGAACTCGTGACCTGGAGGTAGGAGCTGAAGCGCAGACCATGGAGAATAGCTTCTTACTGGCTTGCACTCTGGTCCATGCTCAGCCTGCTTTCTTATACACCACAGGCCCACCTGTCTAGAGGTGGCGCTGACCACAGTGGGCTGGGCCCTCCCACATTGCTCAACAATCAAGGCAATGTCCCACAGACATGGCCACAGGCCAGTCCAATGGAGGAAATTTCTCAACTGAGGTTCCCTCTACCCAGGTGTGTCGGGTTGACAACTGAAGATGCCTAGCACAGTTGTTTTAACTCGGATCTGGGCACAACATCCCAAAATGCTTTCACAATTTGGGGAAAAAGGTAGTAGTGATTTTGCTCGCATTGCAAACACTAGGTATCTTGCAGAACAGTAAAAACTCAGGACAGGAGGGACGGTGTTACTGCAGGTATTATCCTGTACTACACTGATTTTGAAATCTTAAAATTCTAACTTGGAACAGAAGTATACCGAAGAGAATGAACCCAAACTGTAGATAATTCTGAAAGCAAAGTTGCCTTTAAAAATATGGTCTAATTTAATCTTTGTTTCTTACATAAGAATGTGTTACCTCCTATTTTTCGATATACTAAAAATGAATTATTGAGGGGAAGCTGTTTTACCATGTATAGTAGGCACTCTGAATTATTCATCTTAATGAGAGGAATAGAGGCAAAGATAATCTAAAATCATGGTTATTTAAAAAGTCGTTTGTGTTTGTCTTCAGAATACATTACGTGTTTGGTTTGAAAAAGATTTCCATTGTTATTGTGGGCAAATTGCCTTTCTAATTATTTTGTTTTTGTTTAGGTTAATTTTTAAATGAGCTTACATACCTCAAACACCAAAACCAATTTCTAAGGAGGTGGGGCAGGTGGGCATCTTGCCCAGAAACAAGCTGGGTGACAGAAACAAACCCAGTACAAAAACTTCGAAGTAGATTATGTGTAATTCACAGAAAGGTAATCAAGACTCTATTGTCTATCTATTTAATTGATACGTGTTAAGCACTGGCCCTGTTCCTGGAAAGATCAGAGTTTTTTGTTTATATGTGTGGTGTATGCATGTTTGTGTACATGTGTGGGGGAGTGCATGCATGGAGGCTGAAGGTCAACATTGGGTGTCTTGGACTATTGCTCTTCACCTTCATTTTTGAGATAGGTTTGTTCACTTAACCTGAAGCTCACTGATTGGCTTGCCTATGTCCAGTGAGCTCAGAGATCTGCCTGTCTCTACCTCCCAGTGCTGGGATTACAGTCAGGTGCCTCCACAGCCAGCTTTTTACAGGAGTGCTGGGATCTGGGCTCAGTCCTCCTTGTACAAGGAGCACTTTCTCCAATGAGCCATCTCCCCAGTCCCCAACTAAGAGTTGTTTAGTCAAAATTTGAGAACTTCAATCGCACTTCAGATCTAACAGAGATTAGTAACATGTTTCTAAAAATCATAGTGGATGTTCCTGAAAATTACAGAAATCTACTAATTTATAGACGTAACTAAATCGGAGTTTGAAATGTTTCCTAAGGCCTACGCCTGTGTGTGGTGTTCAGCGACATACTTCAGCCTTGTAGAAGCACTTTGCAAAAGCACCGACAGTAAGAAGCCATCTGAATAAGGGGTTTGGTCCATTTGATCTCTGTACCTATGTTTCAAATCAAAAACACATTTCATCAGAGAGAAGCTCTCAAGCATCCATTGTTACCGTGTTCCCGGTTAGTTCAGCAGGACTGCCAATTTAACAGATTTCTATTGTGTTTTTCAAAAGCTCTAGGGCAAAATTGTTGTGGATGAAATAGTTAC